AATTTCTACGCTGTTTGTACACATACACATGCTGCACACCACTTATGCACTCGCCGGACTTTTTTGCCAATAATAAAAAAAATAAAAATAAAAAAAATGAAAATTTTAGCTCAATTCAAATTTTCAAAATTGCCATAAATATTTTGACTAGTTTCTTGCGGGTGCTAAATGTCATAAGACACTAACAAAATGATTAGATATTCGATGTGCTTGGTATACCAGACACATCATAATCGTTCGTGTAATACATGCACGAGTACAGACAAGCACGATGACCAGTGCACTGGACACATTTTATATCTTCTCGAGCAAAAGACCATCTTCTCCTCTAGTAAGCCGGCAATTTCCTATCTTCTCGAGCAAAAGACCATCTTCTCCTCTAGTAAGCCAGCAATTACCTATCTTCACTTCTCCTCCTGTTGAATGTTAATTCCTTCGAAATGAAGATAAAGTGATACTCCAACAAAGCTATCCAATGTAGCATGGGGTATCCTGATATCCTCTGCCACCGCACGCAATACATTCAACATTCGACAAGTACTTTAGATCACTTACACAATACTTTTATATTACATGTTGCATAAGTAATGTATTAATTTTATTGTGTAATAATTATATTGCGTAAACAATATATTGTATTGCATAAGCAGCCACAGGACATTCCGTCCCACTAATCTGGCAGTACAAGAGAAACTAATGGTATGTTTGGTTTGTAATTATAAAAATAATTATCAAGAATTTAGATAACAGAAAATAGTTTTCACTAGACAATAAAAGACAATTATTTGAAAACAGTCATTTTCATAATTGAATTTTCAGAAAACTGAACCAAGCAGAATTTTTTTTACATTTTTTTGTTTTTAATTTTTTAAAAATAAAAAACTGTTCTTAAAATTACAAACCAAGTAGACCCTAAAAAAACAGAGTCTTCCTCAATGACTTTAAGAAGCAAGAGGGCCATGCATTCCATTCAAGGTGCGTAGAAGAAGAAGACTAGGCCCATTTGCTCAGGAAATGGGCTGGCTGTTAAGGGACTGGGGAGTCCAAATCACTTTGAAATTTGATGGGCTTGGAGAGTAGTCTTGATATCCTCCAATATATAGATTCCACGTCTTAACCCACTCCCAAACTGACACTAACATGTCAGTGCTGTTAATTACTACCGTGCAAAGCTTCTCAGAAGGGAAATTTCAACCTTTTTTTTTTTTTCCGCCCCTTTGTTAATGTTTTGGGTTCAGTCGAATTGGGCCTGAAATTGTTTCTACAACTGAGACCAAATCCATTTCAACAAGGACATAAATTGGGTTGAGGGGTAGTAAAAAATCTCATTAGGGGGACCCATAATCCATCACACTTTGTCCTCTGAAAGCCCAAATTCCATAAAGAATCTGAATTTGGACTTCTTTCCACCTTAAACTTTTGGAAGTGAATGGGAAAGATTGGAAAACATCCCCTTAATGAATTATGTATGAAAGATTTTTCATCTGTAAGCAATTCTATCTAGGATGTTTTTGTTTTATTATTATTGTTATTATGAATTTATAATTAGATTTATAATATACTATGGTTTAAGAAAAAAAAAAAAATCATTCCTTACTATTTCTTTTTGAAAAAAAGTATAATCAAGAGAAAACATTGTCTCCCTTATTCAGAAAAAAAGGGAAAAAAATCACATCGTCTTATTTTGCAAGAAATAATGAAGGTCAACCTTTATACAATACATGACATGGGCTAATGCTACATTACCTCTCTTTTATTTGGTCAGCCTACGTGCTTTAAAAATTTTAAGGTGTGAAGTGTATTTTGAGATATTTTTCTCAGGAAAATGTAAAATTTTCTAGGAAACATTCCTTGGTGATAAGTATCTTCCCATCTGAAGTTCCTTGGACCCCATAAATTAATCATATGACCTGACAAATGAATGGGATGCACTCTGACATGAATGAGAGTGCTCTTGACTTGTGTGGTAATTAATGAGGTTTTTGCTTGTAAGGTGGTGGAGGTTGTTGCAATTACAAATCAATGGCTCTATGAAAACTTCATAAAAATATACATGAAACAGCTGATGGACCTACTAAATATCGTCCCAGATATGGGTGTTTGGTCATTATCATAATAGACACACAGTCATAATTTATCCAGCTAAGCTAAGGTAGATAGTTGTCTCAACATGGGCTTCATATTATATACATAATATATATATATATATAGAGAGAGAGAGAGAGACATCTATATATGTTCACGCACATCACATGTCATGTATGTGGACACAATTTACCATCTAGGCATTATGAAGTGTAGCCAATTCGTATTGAATCTCATAATTATACGCGGGATTGGGTCAATGGGGGAAGAGAGAGAGAGAGAGAGAGAGAGAGAGGGGAGGGGGGTTTTACAACGTCCTGTGAGAAACATGAAGAGCCATAAGTGCTCTTTTATGAAAATTGATAACAAGACATATGGTAACGTTCTGGAAGGGTGTACCTTTCCGCCTTGCTCTCGTTTAAAATTGTCTAAACGGGATGTTCGGTCACCACATCCCTCGTCCTCATTTCTGTTCTATTTATGTGTTTTTTTATCCCACGGGCACCTGCCCCGTTTACACCCAAATGTTTTTTTTTTGGTTTTCCCAACGCAAGGAGGATGCAACCCACACAAAAAGCGTTATTAATAGTAGTTTAATATAAAATTCAAATTACAAATATTACATAGTGGCAACACTACACATCCCAAACTAAAATTAAACCTAAACAGCGGGGGAAGGTCCCTGCCCGCACTAAAACTGCACAAATTTTATGATTCCCCAAAACCGATTTAAACAAGGCGGGTACTCCGCTGAGATCTCGCGGGACAAATTATCATCCCTAAATTGATTTAAACAAGGCAGATACCTTGCACTGATCTCACTAAAAACCGATTTAAATAAGGCGGCCGGGGTACCCGCCTCGATTTCGTAAAAGAGTCGCGCGATCAGAGTAAAAAACTTAAACTATTAGATGGGGTTAACATTTAATCCATATATATCCATTCGGATCCAATGTGAAACAAGTTCTCTACCTAAACTCATAACACCGGATCAAATAATTGGTATGTCTCTGATATCAACCGTAATGAATCGGGTATTTCGCAATTCAACTCAAAAACTTATATTATTAGATGAAACTAATTTCTCCCATATATAACCATTCAGTTTCTCATCCGATACAGAAAAGTCCTCCATATAACACTTACACGCTAAAAGGAAATTAAGATACAATCCAATGACAAGTATAAAAAGAGATCTAAAAATGTAAAATGATTTTGGCTTTACTTATGAAGCAGTTCCTTAAATGAATAAAATGATTCGTTATTGTATACACGACCACCACCACAACAACAATTATTGGCGTTCACTACATGAATATTATTATGTTCAAGTTTTTCTATTTTTAAAGTCATACCCTTAGTCAATGATTCATTCATTATGGTATAGTCATTAAAAAAAGAAAGAAAAAGGAAAATGTGCCAGATTGATATTAGAGACATCTATAACCACATGTCTATATATACCTCATTACATTAATATATATATATAGATGGGTTTTAGCCTTTTTGGACTAAAACTTTCCATTAATATATATAGATGGGTTTTAGCCTTTTGGACTAAAACTTTTCAAAGCTGCAGAGAAGAACACCGTGAATGAACATAAAAAAAATCATCCAGCATTTGATATTAGATGTAGCATATATGGATCAGTTTGCATGAAGTTTAGACAGCTCCTGATAGTGACTCGCAATAATTGAACATTAATTATTGAGCATCAAATTATGGTCTTTGAAGAGTCTATAGAAATTACAAAATATCAAAGGTTTGTGGTAAGATTCCAAAACAAGGGCAATCATTAATTAAGAAGCGAGTTAGGGTTTCAAAATGTGAAAACTATGTGCGACCCAACCATTCATAACTAGTTTATGGCTTTATGGTTCACAAGGAACATGATGTGATTACAACTTTTTATCCAACTAAAAAAAGGGGGATGCATTAAATGGCTTCCAAGCTCTTTGAAATTCAATATAGATAAATTAATTTAACATTTAAAATTAAGCATATTAAGTCATTTTTTAGTAATTAGATGCATATTTTCACCATTGCTTTCACTAATATTAAGTTTTCTAAAGAAAATGTCATGATTAGAGCACTCTTACATGAATTCCTGTCTTCTTTAATCAGATCAAGTTTTAGCAAAGATACATATTTAATTTATTGAATGTAATTTTAAAAATCTCAATCTTACACTCCAAATTCAATCACGTCATCATTTTGATGAACTCTAATTTAAAATTTCTTATAATTGAATTTGAGAGTATTAAAGTTAAATAAAAGTGATTAACGTGACCAAAGTCACACAAACACAGAATAAGAATGAAAGCTGCGTCTTCAAAATGTGAGAACGGTAATACCCTAAAAATGTGTGAGTAACACCACTTTAAAAGAATTGTATGATTGGAATATGACTGAATCAAAATGCAAAATTGTGAACTCAAAATTTTAAGAGAGATTTGGCCTGAAGATCCTTGTTTAGGAATCAATGGGCAAAACTCATCCAAATCAATCTTAGTTATGACAGTATTTTGGACCTAAAATCAATCTTATTAAATGTCTGTATTTGGGACCTACTACCTAATTAGGTCTCATGCCTTTCCATGCCTACCTGACAAGAAGTTTTAGGATAAATGTAGGGAAGACTTGGATGAAATTATTAGGTTTCCAAACATGCCCTAATAAACTGGAAGATTGCTCTGCTACCATTGGTGGGAGGCGGGAACGTTACTCATTACAAGTGGCAGGCACTGTATTATTCTTTGCCCACTTTCTCACTCTACAATAGTGTGATACAGCGAAGCAAAGCAGAGAGAGAGAGAGAGGAGCTCGCTTTCTCGTCTCTTGAAGTACAAGATTACAAAAAAAAGTGAATCGACCTCTCAACTAAACTATTGATTGAGATTGCACAAACACACACTCACACACTCACTTTCACCGACTCACCTCACAAGCACCTCATCAAACACCTTTGATTCATTATCTCTATGCGCAGAGGTGTCGGCACTTATTTATTGGACCCACATTTGAATAATCAAATCCCTCCCAACCTCACTCGCATGTGCCCCAGCGCTCTCTCTCTCTCTCTGTGTTTGTGTGTGTGACTGTGTGTAATTCAGATGAAGAAAATTGATTAGACTTCGAAGATCAGAAGAAATCGACAATAAGAATGTATGCAACTGACAAGATGGAATTTTGAATCTCTCTCTCTCTCTCTCTCAAAGTATGGATCCAAGAACTCGTCTTGATCATGCTCTGTTTCAGCTCACGCCAACCAGGACCAGGTACTGTGAATTGTGAATTACTTGTTCAAATTCTCACCCAATTTGTCAATTCAGAGTCTGTTACTCTCTCTCATTGTGTTCATTATGTGTTCTAACACTTGTTTGATCGTATGAAGATGTGATCTGGTTATCTTTGCTGGTGGCGCGAACGAGAAGCTTGCGTCTGGACTACTTGAACCATTCCTTTCGCATCTCAAATCCGCAAAAGATCAGATTCAGAAAGGCGGTTATTCAGTTACTCTTCAACCGCCTTCAAGAGCCACCGATGTTTCGTGGTTCACCAAGGCCACTTTAGAAAGGTTACTTTTGTGTTTCTTACTCAGCCAAGTTATTAATTTTGGATCTATGCAACACAATGTGCTAGTAATTTTCAAAATTGATCTTCATCTATACTGTTCTCTGTAGATTTATCACTGTTAGATTGATATTTAAGCAAAGTTTTTGCTTGAGTAGCCATTTAGATTGTTTTGCATCCCTATTGTTGTTAGTTTTCTTAATTATTGTGTGTTTTAACAGATTTGTGCACTTGATTGTTGCTAATTTGCTTGATCGTTCTGTTTTGTCATTCATTTTCTTTTTTCTTTATTTCTGGCTTCAGATTTGTGAGATTTGTTAGCACTCCTGAAGTTCTTGAGAGATTTGTTACAATAGAGAGAGAGATTGAACAGATTGAGAATTCGGTTCCGTTAACCGTGGCCGCAGAGACAGAAGGTATGATTGAAGATTTATTTTCCATAATGATTCTCTTAAACTGTGTCTTTGCCTTCACTGGCTGCTGAATTTTCAATTTTGTTCAGCTGATTAATTATATGCTCAGTCTTTTCTACTAATTTGGTAGTTATTATTCACTCATGAGCTTCTATTATGACTGGGTTTTGCATTATATTTCCCCTGTTACCAGGGTGTTAATTTTTTCCATGAATCATAGACGTAGGCATTTAGAAAAGATATATATATATATATATATATATATATTTTTTTTTTTTCTTTCCTTTTTATCTCTGAAATTATTTGGGGTTGATGTGTTGAAATATTTTTAGAAAAAATGAGATAATCTTGTCATGATGGTCATTATTATATTCTCAACTGATTGTCCTTTGTGCTGGGGTATGATGACAAACCACAACTTTTTGATAGGTCATTAACAATAAAGGGAGACTTTTTACCCTGTGATAGATGTCAAAATATAGAACTACATTCTTGTAGAATGTAGATTGATTCACCACCTTGAACATTGTAACTGTTGTTATTCACTAGCTTAAAATATGCAGGAAATTTGTCAAACGGAACCAGTGATGCTGCACAGGAAGAAAATCCCAAGTAAAATTATCTCATCTTTCACTCTGTCGTACCTAATGACTATATATACTAAAATAACAGTGGTATATATTCTCTTCAGTAACTTTTTTCTACTGGTGATGAACAGAGTCCGTCTTCAACGTGTTCTGGAGGCTAGGAAGGCAATGCTCCGGAAAGAGCAGGCAATGGCTTATGCTCGTGCTTTAGTTGCAGGGTTTGAGATGGACTATATAGATGATCTCATATCCTTTGCTGATGCTTTTGGAGCTTCGCGTTTAAGGTATGAAAGGAATGATTATTATAATTGTGACATCAACCAACCACTTCTGAATTCGATGTAAAATTTTAGCTCAGATGGTGCATTAGCTTTTTGGTGTTCAGTTGATTCTTTAATTTGTTGTTCCTTTTGTGCCACTGACATGGTTTCTGCATCGAAAATCTGTCATCAGTCAGAAGCTACCTTGACTGGCACCAAGATCCATTTTCTAGTATAGCTGAATCATATTCGTTGCTCTAATATCCAAATATCGACAGATTTAGCATGTTTCCTCAATTCATTAAAATTAAATTGCATCCATATCAGCCATATTGTGGTTAGTGAACTACATGTAATTTTCAAAGCACCCAACTGGCTGAACGAAATCAGTGAGAGGTTAGATTATACATTAGTCATAGAAAGTGATTCACATGGATGGCCTTATACATTCACATTTCACAATTTATTCCAGAATAACTTTCTTTTTTCATCATCTAGATCAAGAAGTTTCACATTTTCTTTTCTTTCTTCATATACATGAACAGCAGAGACTGAAGAAGTTATTACCTAACTTTCAAGCAACTGAAGTTAAACAATGTAACAACAAACTAGAATTTTTCGTGGTGTTATTGTTAAATTAAACTTCAGAAACTTGAAATAAATTAGGAGGGAAGCAAGACAAAATAAGAACAACTCTATTCCCAGCTACTAGAATTCTATTTTTATTACATGAGCCCATTCTGTGAAGCATCCAGAAGCTGTTAAGGGGAACATCTTTGTATTTACTCGTATATTTTTAGTATTCATGTTACAAATTGGTCCTAAGCTACCTAACACAACTGTGATGTTGTGGCCCGAATTTGGTTTCGGGTCGCATTGCGACCCATTTACGACCCAATGACCCATTGATTGAGTGGGATTATTGAGACGCTAAAAATCACAGAGAGAGAGAGAGAGAGTAAGAGTAAGAGCAAGAGCTAGGGTTTGGAGGCTGAAACTTGTAATCTCCTATTTTTCGCATAGCGAAAACTTTTGCCGGATCTCCACCATGGATGTAGGCTTAGCTGAAACAGTCTAAATCTTTTTGTTCTTTGTGTGGCGTGTTTATTTTTTCTGTCATGTTTCTTGATATGTTGCGTTTGTCGTAACAACCACCCTTCTTTTTCCAAGCTTCGGACCGACTGAAAGGATAAGACACTGAACATGACAAGCAGTAAGCAGGGTTACGACAAAATTAGAACCCATCATAATATATTCAAAGCTCATTTTGCTTCTGGATTTGAAGTTTAAACATTGTAACTACGAGCTGGAATTTGTCTCTTACAGTTGTTTCATATAAGAACCAGCATCTCACACATTTTTTATTTTTTATTTTTATTTTTATTTATGTAAAATCACTTTGCCCAGAAAATTCATCCATACTAGTGTCAAAATTGTGATAAAAATGATGTCAGCTACAATATACCATCAGTTTTTTTTTTTTTTTTCATAAATAAAATATCATCAGTTCAATTCCTGCAATGCTGTCAGGTATAATTGTAAGCAGCATTTTACTGATTGAATTGTTTGAATAATATATTTATACAGGTTTCATATTTTCATCCTTAAATTTGAGATTTATTTTGGGTTTCAAATTCCCATCCTGACATTTTGGATATTTTTCAAATCTTCGGAGTAGAAGTTTGATTCAAGATCCTATCATCCTAGGTTCTGGATTCTTTTCAGTTTTAATGATTGTAGTTTTTCGTTTTTTCTTCTTTTCCTCTTTTGTTGCACATTCATATATAAAATGTTCTTTTGCATAATTACAAATTGAAAAAAGAAAAAAAAGTTCTTTTGGATCTCAGTTGAAGTTTTTCGAACTGAGTTTGTTTAGGGGAGCATGTGTAAATTTCATGGAATTGTGCAAGAGAAAGAATGACGATGGGCTCTGGATGGATGAAGTAGCGGCAATGCAGGCATCTCAAGCAGAATTGTCATACATGGCAACATCTGGAATCATTCTTGCTGGTGAAGATTATGGTCATAGTCAAGATTTCATGATAAATGTCCAGAATGGTGGCCTTTCTAGCAGTAAACAGAATGCCTCTATAGATGCGTCTGATTCAACCATAAGTCACGGAAGTTTAGACATTAACCAAGGTATGGTTGAATATCCTTTTTTATTTTATTTTATGATTTGTGCTCTAAAATGAGTTAATAACCAGGATTGATTGCATGTTGGTTATTTATAATCCATGCACTTTGCTCTTGCCATCTTTGAAGTCCATTGTTTTGTTTTGCTTTACTTCCTAATGCGTAGTGACATAATTAGATTTGGTCTTCACGCTCATAAAAGATGGCCCTTGTTCCAGAAACAGCCTTAAGTTAGTTTATTTGAAGCCTTAACATCTTGAGTAAATATGGTCAATTTTATACAATATATCTCTCCTTATAATTGAGAGACATATCCGTATATTTCATGACTGTTCTTTCCATTGTAGTACTGGTTCATCCTTGATGTTTAAAAATATGATGTGCAGATAATAGCTTGCCAACATCATCTCAGATGCATACAACAGATGCAAAAGCTCAAATACCAATGTCGTGGCCAAACCATCTACCTCAGTACATGCACAATTTCCAAGGTCCTTTTTATCAACAAATGCCCCCATATCAAGGCTATCCTTTTCAAGGCATGCCGGTTGCCCCTCCTTACTATCCAGGGAATATGCCATGGCCTTCAAATGTGGAGGATTCTGCTCAAGGTCTTGAGCGGGAACCAGATGACCGTCGGAATCATAGATCATCTTCCAGGAATAGAGAGAAATTTTCACACGGGAAAGGGTCAAAAATGTCAGAACAAGGTGATAACACTGAGCCCAGTGACTCCAATACTGAGAGTGATTCAGACGAGTATCTGCAGCATGAGAAAAAAATTTCTTCGACTGAGCAGCTCCGGAAAACAAAGAAAGGGAAAAGGTCCTCAGGAAAGGTAGTTATTCGTAATATTAATTACATCACATCAAAGAGAGATGGGGGAAAAGGCGGTATCTCTGAAGGAGATTCATCTGAGGATGAATTCATTGATGGAGAATCTCTTAAACAGCAGGTGGAGGAAGCTGTTGGGTCACTGGAGAGACACCATAAATCAACCTCCCGTGTTAATAGGAAGCGAGAAGGGAGCCAGCAACATAGCCTTGTGAATGGATCACGTGATGCTGTCAATATTAACGATGTAGTTGAAAATAAATCTGAAGGAGCAAAAGGAAATGAGAACTGGGACATTTTCCAGAACATTCTTTTGAAGGATGCAGATTCAGGATCTAATGGTATAGATTCGCACCCTGTACAGGTTCAGGAGGAGTATTTTGGAAATAAGAACTCTGGGGAAGGAGTGCCAATTGCATTTAACATGGAAATGGATGAAGTGACAAAACATCATGCAATTTCAAGTGATTCCTTTGTTGTGACTCAGAGGGGTACAGGTAATGAAGGTAATAATATCCTCATCAAAAATCTTGAAGCAGGAGAGAATATCCGACAAGTTATTAAGAACAGGGACGGCACTTATGAGGAGTTGTTATTTTCTCAGAGAATTGAAGAGTCAGAAAACTATTCACGAGCCACTTTATCTGATTGTGCCACTGAAGCCTCCACTGTTAAGATCCAAAAAGGAGGAGACTGGTTCCTCAGTGGCCAACCCAATACGTCAGCAGCTCAGGATAAAAGCTTAGACTGCAGTATATTTGATGGAGATCACACTTCATCATTAGTGGGTGATGGCAACCAGAGTCAGACAAATAGGAGGGATGCTTTTGTGGACGACTCTTTCATGGTTCAAGCTCGCCAAACCAGTTACCCATATGACTCTCAAATGACGACAGACATATGCATGGTCTCAGACATTATTGGAGCGACCGAACAAGAAAATAGCAAACCAGATAATTTACAAGAGAAGGTTGAAGCCACGAGTGTTTGTGAGCCGGATGACCTTTACATGGTGCTTGGAAGAAATTCAACTGCTGAGCAAACAGTGACAACTTGGAATCCTGAAATGGATTACGCAAATAACAATTCATTGACTGAAGCAGTTAAAAGGCACTCTCATAGTGAATCAACTGAAAGCGTTGATGCTAAGCTTCCCTCTAATGGGAAGGCAACCAACAGTAAAACTCGTGGAGCTCCAGAAGCAAAAGTTTCAAATAAAGAAGCAAGGTCTAAAGCATTAGTTGGATCTCTTGCAAAGAGCAAATCTGAGATAACATCAAGGGGCAAGAAACCATCTTCTGTAAGCAGAACCATGGTTCAGAAGAGCAAATCTGTGAAGGTATTGAAAATGCATGTAGTTGAGTGCTTCAACATTCCATGGAATTGGAAACCATTTCATTGTGTTTTAGTAGAATTTAAAAGAGTCCATTCTCCCCCCCCCCCCTCTCTCTCTCTCTCTCTTCCAAAAGGTGAGTCCATTCTCTTTCCATTTCACTCGGAATGACATAAAAAAAAGAAAAAAAAACTTTCGAAGATTTTATCTTTCTCATGTCAAATAGATTTTTATTTTTTATTTTTCTTCGGCGGGGATTCTGTGAAATAGAATTACATATTCCTACCGTGATCAGTGGCAATGGCTTCATTCTAGTCCAGGGGTCCTATTGGATTTATGCCTTGAAATGCTATCGAAACAATTTGGAATTGTTCCATCTCATGTGCTCTCTGTCTGCCTTGATTTGCTCATATATCATGAAATTTATTTGCTGTTCCCCTTTTTCCTTCTTTTGAATTTATGCTTAATATATTTTTACCACCTTCTTATGCATAGGAAGAAGAAAGTAGAAAGAAAAAGGAGGAATTACTGACTGAACGTCAAAAGAGAATTGCTGAAAGAAGTGCTGCTGGTGGTTCTACTCCAGCAACATCCAAGAGGAACTCAAAAGAGACTAAGACAGCTATAGCTTCCGTGAAAAGTGAGAAGCTAAAAAGTCAATCTTCAATTGAGGAGACAAAGAAATTACATAAACCAGTCCTTCGGAGTTCCACCATAGATCGTCTTGCAGCTGCACGGATAAGTCACGAGTTGTCATCAGCTGAATCAAAATCCAATCAACCTAGAAAAGCAGCCTTGAAGGAAAATGGTGTGATGGGTACTACGATATCACAGAAGAGTGCTGGGGCTGGGAACAAGAAACAAAGTGCTAACAAGGTTAGACCTTCAGATAAAAAAAACAGCCCAAAGGAATTGCATTCTTCTCTCTCTGATGCCCAGGAGAAGAAGGATCATGTAGATGCCATAGCACCAAAATCAGTAGAGCTGAGAAGTGCCCAAGCAACTCAAGCTTCTTCTGATGGCATTGATGATTCTGAAAACATTAAGGAGTTATGCAGCGTGTCTTCAATCGAGAAGAATGGAGGAGACATGAATTCAGAAAGAGAGAATTTGGATGACAAGAGCGGCAACAGGATTTTACCCAACGGAGACTTGCGTGCGCCTTCTGAAGATTTCTCTCCGGAGTATGACAATGGGGTGATATCTGAAGGATCGATGGCTCTTCATGAAGACACAACAGTTTCTAAAAATGGTGGTGAGTCTATTACTTATACGACTGCACGTGCTCTGCCCACATCGCCTGACAAAGCTTTGAACAATTTTGAGAATGGTTCAGCAAATGAAGACGTTCCTGTCACGCCAGAAATTTCTGAGATAGAAATATCTACTCCCCCACCAAATATTGAAATGAGCCCTGAACCAGTCTACTCCAGGAAGAAATGGAACAGTGGTGAAAGCTCTCCTAAAGCTGCCAAAGGGTTCAGAAAGCTCCTAATGTTTGGTCGGAAAAGCTGAAACATATTGTGAACTGATCTTTTTTAGACTTTGTTTATTCTATGCTACACAATTGTGTTACAAAGCCATTGGATAATTCTTCTCTTCGGAAAATGGAGCAGGGTGTGAATCCACCTATTGAATTGTTTGATTGACCGGCCAATGTGCTCCATGTAGCTTCCGGATGGAAGAAGTTGGATTGCTCTCATAATAAGGCCGTGGGTTTTGCTGCCGTATGGAAGAGTCATTTTGTAATTTATCTGGTTACAGTACAGAGGGTGTAAACAGGTAATCCTTTTGTTTGGTGTATTCTACTCTGGATTAATAAATCTATGAGTCTGTCTTGTTTGTTTCATTTGTATTCTTTATTCAATGTTATGTTTGTGTGTATAATGCAATATTTTGACAATTCGTTTTTGCAATATATAAATTTTGTCCATTTTTCTTAATTATTCTTTATGCTTGGATAATTTTCTTATATCTTGTTGGACTAGCATTTGTATTAAATTTTTGTGGATTCATTACCCATATTGTTTTTAAAAATATTAAGGATTTCATTCACAACATCAAAGTACAATGAGTATCGATGTACAGTTAATCTATGCTAAAGAACTACAAGCAAACTATGGTAGGACAATGAAACTGACAAGATTAAACTAAGATAATCCTCTGCCACTCCTTTATTTAGCATTTTTCTGTCAGGTGGTGCTGCGAGCCTCTTCATTGTCCAAATGTCATGCCGGTTTCGTGTGCAAACAAACATACTCAGTGTTAAGCTTGTAATCGGATTTCTGGCTCCGCCATGGATGTAGTCTCAACTGATCATCTCTCTTGATACTCAGAAATCCTCCTCGGAAGAGCTACTGGAACCACTTGTACTATCCGAACTGTCCTCAAAATCCAATCCGTAAGAGCTAGTGGAACCATTTGTACCATCTGATCTGCCCTCATACTCAAATGAAAAGCTCATCAAACTTTCACAATCTGATTCAGAATCACTTAACTTGCTCTTCCTCATCGTCTCTTCACATTCTGAAGCTTCAATCATTTGCCTGCGTTCCAAAGGCCTTGGCTCTCTCAGATGGTCATCAGCTATCACACTCATCAACCAGAGCTCCACCGCATCTGGCACTGAATATTGCATACAAAGATTCTTCTGATATTCCAAATCCACTTCCGAAGAGCTACTGGAATCACCTGTACTATCAAAACTGTCCTCAGGCTCGCATGAAAACCTCATTGAACTCTCACAATCTGATCCAGAATGACTTGACACGCTCTTCCTCGTCATCTCCTCACATTCTGAAACTTTGATCATTTGCCTGCTTTCCCAAGGTCTTGGCTCTATAAGATGGTCATCGGCTATTGCACTCATCAACCGGAGCTTCACATCATCCGGTACTGAATTTATACAAAGATTCTCCTTCATCTGCAGTATATATAATACACAGATAATGTAAGAATTCACAGAAGCAACAGAAAGAATGAACGAAACTGGTTGGTTTATAACTTTATAGGAATGGTATTTTAGACTGATTAATATAATTACCTCCTCGTCCACAAGATTTCCAGGCAACAATCCAACATTGGTCTTCACAAATTCACTACCATAACGATCTCGGAATAGATTTTGTAGCAAACGCAGCTCTTGAAGATCCTCACACACTGAGCTAGCAAACACCAAACTTGATATAGCCTTGTTCACTTCAGTTGGCAAATCACTGCAACATTAAATCAGAACATCTATCAGTAATCAATTCTGGATTAAAAGACAAAAAAAAAAATAAAAAAAAAAAAGGCTCACTCATCAGAATCGATTCATGTGAAAATATAATTTAAATACACAGAAGATTATACTAATAAGGAATATTTCATACCAGTTTTTGCTAATACATTGAACTTGACGGTAGACCTGCGCACTGAATTGGTCCACTCGATTATATGCACATTCTATGCACATGTCCTTGTAGAGATGCTCAACCTGCAAAAAAAGGAGGAATGAAATTAAATTATTTGTGAGGTTTTATTAAATTATGAACAGCAAAAACAAGCTTTCTATGGTTTAAATGAAAATTATTTTTATACTATAAAACAGTAGGACAAAACAACAATTTTGATCTATTATTAGTTAACTAAAAAAAAAACTATTTTTGATCAATTCCCATTTCATAATTTTGAATCATGGGCATTTAACCTGGACTTGTATAGTCAGATGAAATATTTTAAATTATATTTTCAACAAACACAAACAAAATTTCAAATTGTATTTTCACATGAAACAGAATGATATTAACAAAATTCAAAAAATCACGTCCTATAATATTGAAAGAAATTTTATGAAAACAATTAGCGCGCAAAGTTGTGAGAATAATTTAATTAGTTACCTTAGCAAAAGCTTCATCATGTCGACCCGTCTTGAGTAGCTGAGCAACATTAGCAGAAGATTGCTTTATGATGGAATTCCTCCGACTCTTCTGAATCTTCAGCTCGCGCCAAAGGTTCTTAATCAGTTTCTTGCTGCACCAATATTTAACACAACTAGTCAGCCAACTAATGCATGAAAATTTTAAAGCAAAATATTATTGAAATATTTTACCTTACTTCATTTTAAAACCAAAATAAAACCAAAAAAAATAGTGTCCTTTAATGATCAATTTAATCAAGTACATATGGACTTCTTTTTTTTTTTTTTTTTGTCACATCAGTTTTTGCTTTTCTCAGTATGTTTATGGTTAAATAAGATTGAGTGACCGATGGTGCATGCATGTTTCTACGTTAATCTTATATAAAGTTTTTTCTTTTTCTTGGAACAGAAGTAACTAGGTAACAATATCAATCGATTGTGTATTACACACCTAAGACAACACATATATCTATATCTATATTTATATTATTAAAATTACAAATCGTTTCATACATTTTTCCTAATGATATTTCCTTTTTTTTAATTCAATTATCTTTCTAACTCTTCCCTAAATAAAATAATTTACCTTTTAATTCTAATTCTATTCTCTTTCTAATTCTTTCCTAAATAATAATTTAATTTTAAAATTATTTTATTTTACTATCCAAAAATGTATAAAATAGTTTTCATAAACACAAACTTTTATACTCTTTATAAAACTCTTTAATTGAGAATATTAATTGAAAATAAAGTTTATCAATTACATATTAATTATATTATTGTATTAAAATATATCTCTTTTCGCTTTAATTAAGACACTTAACAAAAACAAACTCAATAAATTCACGACTTTTTATATTATTGTATTAAAATAAAAATATATCTCTTTCCGCTTTAATTTGGACACTTGACAACAACAAAGTCAATAAATTCATGATTTTTTTTTCATAGGACACCTAACAAAAACAAACTCAATACAAATTCATGATTTTTTTTATATTATATTATATTATTTTATTGTTAAAAAATGTATATATAAAGAGTTTTCATTAAATACAAACTCTTCCATTTTATTTAATAAACTGCAAATAACATATTAAACACAAACTCTTTATAAAATAATTTGATTGATAATTGAGATTAAATTTAAACTAGCTAGAAAGAAAAGGTTATAAATATAAGAATTGCATACCACTTATTAGCTCTTCTTTGATTCTTTCCTCCGAACACACAGAAAAACATAATGAATGAATGTTAATTCGAATCGAAAAACCCTTCAAATTAAGAACAAACCTAAACCTAGAATATTTTTAGACTCTCAGATTTACGCAGCATATAAATACTATATATATATATATATGATAATGTCTCAGATATATATCATGTAACTTCTCAAGTAAATCAGCTGTATAAATTGTGTCGTGAAATCTAAGCAATGTGGAGAAATGTTACAGTGAAATCGATTTCAAGGTAATTGCGGTGAGGTCTATCTGTTTTTATTGTTATCTCATATAAAATATTGAAACGTGCATCGACTATCGAGTCGTTTAAAAAAAAAAAAAATTTACGAAGATTAGATAGTCGAATTTTCATTTCAAGATTTATTTCCCACAAATTATATGAGTCGGTCAAACTTTTTATTTCTTTCTTTGTGTTTTTTTTTTTTTTTTAAACCAAATTAATCTATCTTTGACCGCCTTGTATAATTTTAATTTATAATATTTAAAATTGATTTTTTACAGTGAACTCATTTTAATGACACTTGCTGTAACTTGAACACTATTTTTCGTCTTTAAAATGTAGTGCTTATGAAAGTTATCATGAGACCAATCTCATAGCATTACTCATCATTACTAATATAAAAACCTAACAAATGATAGTGTACCTTATAACAACTAACTGCAAAGCAAACAAAATAAGTAGTTAAATTGTGGTGCAAGTAACAAACACTCAAATACATATATTAATTTTTTTATTTTAATTAGAGCTAGTTCGGTGTGATGAAATGAAATAAAAGAAAGTAGAATGAAATAATTTGTTTTTCATTCTTATATTTGGTATCAATTTTAAAGTTGGAATCATTATTTCCCATTATTCTTGAAGAATGACCATTTCATCAAAATTATTTCACCTTCCAACAAAAGGAATGACCATTTCATTCTCTTCTCATTCCATTCCCACCTTTATTTTCATTCCATTCCAATTTATTCCACCTGTGGCCTGACTCCGTATATGTGTATGTTAATTTAAGGGTTTGGCCGTCCAAAGAAAATATAATAATAATAAAGGCAAAAACACAAGTTCAAGTGAATAGGAAAATGATGGAAAGTCAGATCGAAGCATGGATCAATGGAAGCTTGAAGTAACTTGGATTCATGGCATCAGGACGGTTGGATCGAAGTGATGAATCAATTGAAATTTAGGGTCATTTTGATCTAAGGAAAGAAGTAAGGTGTTTTGGGGGCATTTTGGTATATTTTGCACTCGTTAAGTTGCCTTAATTCTATAAATATATAATGGGAACAGGGTGGATATAACCTTAAATTTTGGGTGATGTTAGGCTGAGGTGATCTTAACAATATTGCTTTCAAGCTTGACCCTTTTCTTTTTTTTTTCGTGCAAGGCAACCGATCAGGTAAAATATTCTAATTATGTTCGTGACTTCTAAGGAATTGTTTGTATCTAAAAAAAAAAATAAGAGTTCAAGTCTTTTCCAACTTAAAAAAAAAATTAAAGGTCCAAGTCTTTTCGAACACCAACCTTTGGCATTAGCGAAACAAACTTGACCTTATACTAAGCAAATTATTACACAAAATTGAGCAGTACCCAACATTTGTTGCATAAATTCATGGGTGTTTCCTATATGCTATGTAGTTTATGAAAAGCTAAAGTTCAGTACTATTTCTTTCACCAACTGCATTGGTTTCAAATTTTAGTTGATTAGTTTAGGAAAATAAAATTAGTCACCGGTGAGGTTTACTTAAAATTTTCAAAATATTAAGAACTATTCTTGCTTTTCATTAACAACATCAAAGTACGTACAAGAAGTGTCATTGTACAGTAAATCTATATATGCTAAAGAACTACAAGCAAACTATGCTCGGACAATGAAACTGACAAGATTAAATTGAGGGTGTGTTCGGTCGTATGAAATTATAGTTTTAGATTATGTAGAATTTTTTTTTTAAAAAAAAACAACTAAGACCAAAATTTTCTCAGATTTCTGGCTCCGCGCCATGGATGGATATAGTCTCAACCGATCTCTCTTGATACTCAGAAATCCCCTTGGAAGAGCTACTGGAACCAGTTGTACAATCTGAACTGTCGAATCCGTAAGAGCTAGTGCAACAACCGTCCACACACACACAATCTGGTTCAGAATCACCTAACTCCCTCGTCCTCCTCATGTTCTCTGAAGCTTTGATCATTTGCTTGCTGCTTTCCCAAGGCCTTGGCTCTATCAGATGTTCATCAGCTATTGCACTCATCAACCGGAGTTTCACATCATCTGCTACTGAATCTATACAAAGATTCCCCTTCACCTGCATTTTATATATATATAATGTGGGAACTATATAAGAATTAATTCACAGAAACAATGAACCAAGAAATTAATTACCTCCTCATCTACGAGATTTCCAGGCAATAATCCAACATTGGTCTTCACAAATTCACATCCATAACGATCTCTGAATAGGTTTTGTAGCAAACGCAGTTCTTGAAATTCCTCACACACTGAGCTAGCAAATACTAGACTTGACATGGCTTTCTTCACTTCAGTTGGCAACTCACTGGGGCAATATTGAATCACAAACATATATCAGATATATGGAATGGACAAGATCATTGTATTACTTTGGAGAAATGAACTACTCATCACAATCGATTCAAAAACTGAAAAAATGAAATACACACAAAGATTATATATATTAAACATTTCATACCAGTTTTTGCTAATACAATGAAGATTATTGTAGACCTGTACACTGAATTGGTCCACTCGATGATATGCACATGCCATGCACATGTGCTTATAGAGATGATCAACCTGCAAAAAAAATTAGCAGAAATTAATTTATTTATGAGGTTTTATTCCCGGGGATAATACCTACTCTCTCTCTCTCTATATCTATATGTACATGCTATAGATTCTTTTATTAATGTAAAAGGCATGATGCATGCATGGCATAGACATGGGAGTTACATTATAATTATAAAATAAACCAACTGTACAAAAACTTTTGGGTAGGAAAATTAGGATCATGTAACTTGCTACATATAACTCTATCTGTCAAGTTTTATGAAATTATGAACAGCAAAATATATATATATATACATATATATATATTTAGGTTCAAACAATTTCTTGAAAGGGGTGTGTGAGTATGTACCAACTAGGATGAAAAGGGATACTAGGAGTCTGCTTTGGAATTGATAAAATCAATTTAATTGCTTGAAATTCATCTTTTAACTTTCAACAAAAACAAAAAATTTATATTTTCGCATGAAATATATAGAATGATATTAATAAAATTCGAAAAAATCACATCGTATAATGTTGAAATAAATTTTATGAAAAAAATTCGTAAAGTTGTGAGAATAATCAAGTTACCCTAGCAAAAGCTAAATCATGTTGGCCAGCCTTGAGTAGCTGAGCAATATTAGCAGATGATTGCCTTATGATGGAATTCCTCTGACTCCTCTGAATCTTCAGTTCGCGCCACAGTTTCTCAATCAGTTTCTTGCTGCATCATTCAACACAACTTGTCAGCCAACTCATGCATGAAAATTTTAAAGGAACATATTATTGAAATATTTTACCTAATTTCATTTAAAAGCAAAATAAAACAAAGAAATGAGTGTCCTTGAATCAATTTAATCAAGTACATTATATATGGGTTTTTTTTTTTCACAAGTACAGTATATAACCTATTTAGAAGATAATATATAGATATATATATATATATACACACACCAAAAATCAGTGATTGATTACCTTAATTAACAGATTAATTCTTAAAAGAATCTTTTGAAAAATAAAAAATATAAATCTCTAACTAGGAACGCTTAAGAACTTTAACATGATTAAAATTCAACCACGATAATGAAAAAATAATCAATAATTATTCCTTATTGAGAACTAACAATTTTACATTGGTTTTTGGATGTTTCAACGTTTGATTTTATATGAAGTTTCTTTCT